GTAGAGTCGTTGGTCGTCTAAGGTCAATGACCCCTAAGTCAAAACAAATAAGAGTAAATAGGAGCATGTGTAATTACGAAATTCGTTGTTTCGATAAATTTCTTTATTTTCGACGTTAATTCAATAAGCAGACAGTTTATGCTTGTCTTTTGAAAGAAATCTCTTAATGTTGTAAAAAAATATTGCCTAAATCTGAATTTATCAAAACTTACTTGCTATTTGTTTGGGCTATAGTTTATCAGATGTCAATTTAACCAAATTTTAATCCAAATTTAGATGCTGAACACACTTAGAGATTATTCTTTCATTTGAATAGATAATAATGAAAATATAATCAATATAGATATGTTTTTTGGATATTTGTATCATTAATGATTGGATTCATATTGAAATATTTTTTATGTGTTCCATGTATTCAATAAGGTTTACAATCTTAATCAATTTTTAATACATAGGAAGTATATACCTGTAAACAACGAGGTTGCGGTAAAGTGTTCACTAATCAAGACGAATATAAGACACATGAGGCACTAGAGGCTTTAAAAATTCGTTTTATGTAAGTAAAAATCAATTTATTGCATCACTATAATAGATAACAAAGAAGGTTATGAGTCATTTTAAATGATACGCTTTGAAATATCTAAAAAAATATAAAAGATATGGAGAAATGCTTTTAAAAAAAAGTTGTTCAATTACTAGAAAGAAAGAAAGTGATTTTGGTTGACTTAATAAATATGTCTTTAAAGTCAGGTCAAGATTACTAAAAATTTTTAATATAGAAACTCCAAATTTTGCTTTTATGTTTATATGATGACATCAAGACACACACACCTTCTTAAAACATTATAATAAAATATTTTTTTATTTAGTACTTTGCAAGTTATAAGGCTTCAAAATTAACAGGTTAACACTGGAAGCACTCTGTTTGACCACATTAATATTGATCACTAAGCAATTGTTACAACTGGTGTCATTTTAAATAGAAACCTCTAGTTTTAACTCCAGAAATGAAAAGAACAAAAAATTCTATATGTTTAGATAAGCTATTATGAAATCACATTCAGCCCCAATTTATAAAATACTCGATGAAAAAATATTTTATTATAGTGTTTAAAAAAGGGTCTTGACATTAGCTATATGAACATGAAATAAAAAATTAGGTTTCAAGCCCTATAACTTGCAAAGTACTAAATAAAAAAATTTTTTATGGTGTTTTGGAAAGGTCTTGATGTCTATATGAACGTGAAATGAAAATTTGGAGTTTCCATTAATACAATTTTTAATAACCTTAACATAACTGACTTTAAGAATATCTTTTCTAGATCAACCAAAGTCATCACTTTCTTTCCTTCTAGTAATTGAGCACCTATTGTTTAAAACTTTTGTTTAAAATTTTCCTGTATCTTTAATATTTTTTGAGATATTTCAGTGTATCACTTAAAATGATTTATATCCTGTATATCTCTGCAATTGATTATAGTGATTTTGATAAAATATATAAAATATTATAAAATATTGACTAGTAATATTAAGTTAAAAATTTATTTTAAGATTTTATTTATATCTTTTTTGTGAATTTTTTATAGTTGTCGTGAGCCAGGTTGTGGAGAAGAATTGTCAGATCCAGGTAGCATGTGGCGACATTATCAAGAATGGCATAACAATGAAACAAATGTCTTTGTATGTCCATATACCAGTTGTGGATCTTTGCAATCTACTAGCGGTAATCTTGAGGAGCATATTGAAAGTTGTCATAGACAACCACCCACACTGCCAATGGAGCCTGAGATAATTTGTTTCGAAGGCCCTGAAAATGCAATAGACGAAGAAGTCATGCAAAAGACTGATGAGGGGTGTTATGAAAAACTGCCAAGCGAAAACTTTACTATAAAGGAAGAATATGGAAATAAAGAAGATAACTGTTCTATTAGAAACGAAACAAAAATTCAGGTGAAGAATGAGTTTTGTCATGAGCAAAAGATTACGAACAGCGAAGACTATTCGAACAATGAATCTTTGAATGGTATTAACAAGTTTTCAAATAGTGAAGATCTGCTTATAATGAAAGATAATTTCTTACGAAAATATGATACTGGAACTCCGAAGTGCGAAGAAATCCTTCAAGTGGAGTGCACACAGGATAAGAATAACGTGGTTTACATAAATAGCGATATAACCATTACAAAAAATATGAAAATGGAAATATGCAATTTAAATTTACGAAATCAGGAGCATAGAATAGATTTAGGAAACATGGAACGAGTTTTTCGAAACGGTCTCGAGCGTGAAAATTCTTTGAAAATCGAAGAGAGCTCGATAGAAACAAATAGCAATTGTTCGGATGATGAGGAGTATACTCCAAAGAAGCAACGCATGTCTAGGTACAAACAAGAAACATATAAATGCGACATCAATGGTTGCGGGAAGAAGTACAAATACATATCGCACTATCGTCATCATCAAGACAGTCATAAATTAGTCACAAATACGATTAATTCCAATAATGATAAGCAAATGCCAAAGGTAAAGCAAGGAAAGGCATCTACTGTCAGCTTCTTCATGTAAGTAAACTGATGTGCATATAATACATTTTACAAATATGTTTTAACCTTTCTAACATTCAAGTACTTAATGTCTAGATGCAAAATGCCTGGATGTGGTGCGCAGGTAAACAACGTTACTGGCCTATGGAAGCATTATCAGGACAATCACGCCAATTCCAAACCGCCGGTTGTACAAACTACCAAGAACAATGAAGTATTTCAGTAAAGCGTTTACAAATCGGTTTTCGTAATATTACATTCGTTGCGGGCAGCCCGCACACATAGCGTAAATAATTGTAATAATCTATTATCAGAGGCAAAGTATTGGCATGCGAGGCAGAGTTGTATGTTGTACAAACACTTTGATCAAGTTCACTCCGATAATACCACCGAGCGACAGGAACGGAAAGACTGGCAATGGGAGTAGTATTCATTTTACTGAGATATTACAAAAAAGGACGCTACTACCCAGTAGAGAAATTTTAAGACTGAATTCACAAAGCCAAGCATAATATTAATTCGAATGATCATGTTGAAAGTGGCGGCATTACTCATAACGTTAATAGTTAAAAGAATTCGTAAAAGTTTTCGAAAGTAACTCTAATCTCGCGAGAAGATCTTTCGTTTGGAATAACGAGAAGTCATGATAACTCAGAGTATTTTACAGAGATTATTATATAATCAATTTTATGCGATTTAAAGCGCTTTAAGCTTATGTGTTTGATCTGTAATTGAATACTGTTAACTATGATCGATAAACTTCTAGTAGCTATAAGTGATACAGGCTTTGTAGGATACTCTGACATTGATCAGTAAATTGTATTGTCAGTGTTTAAGGAAATTTATCCAACAGCTTGATGTATGTTGTGGCGGAATGATTAGCAACTTGAATAAATAGAGAATTCAGTCTAAAAATATGCATATATTATTCTATATGAATATAAATTTTTCTCGTCGCTACAAGAGGCTAAATCTGCTGCAGCGACTTGCACTTGTAATAATAAAACTTCTGATTCTCTGTACTGATTTTTACTATTTTATATTACGTCGTTTTTATGTAACTTATATTCCTTCTATACCAATATATATATGTCGATATTTACTATATCAGTGTATATATACATATATATATACACAGATACATATACATAGTGTTATATATATTATATAAGATATGTATATCATAAATATTATAAAGCATTTTTATTTGTATGTCTATATGTTTAAAAATAAAGTGCAATATTAGGGACAAAATATAAACCCAGCATATAAGCTCTATAAAACAACCTATTAATTTACATCATGTTAAAATTATGTTTAGAGATATTTATATTTTTGCGTTTAAAGCTATTGAATTATTATTAAAATATTAGTAGTGTCATTTGTAATATTTAGTGCATTCATAAGTAAAGGTGTTTACTGCTATTCGATAATATCGAATATTCGATATTTTTTGCTGCTCGATATAAAAATATCGAATAAAAAATTATGAATAAAATATTGCCTAAGTGTATGGTCCATTTGACGCTACAAATGTTTCGAAGCTTTCGATTGACCAATTGAAAAAAACAATTTTTACTAATTGGCCAATTTAAAAATACTTCGAAGCTTTCGCAACATCAGATAGACAATAGCCTAGATATTTTTCAATTATTCATATTCACTCATTCTCCATTTTTACGAATACTTTTAATTTTCAAAACTTTTCTTCTTTAAAGGCTTAACTAGTCAAAACTTGCATAGCGTTGTAAAGTGAATGTACCAGTTAGTGGACAGTTAGTAGATATGACCCAATTCCTTGAACAAAGTGGTAGAAAATTGTAAATATTAAGCTTTTAATGATATATATAACTCTAAATAAATTTATTGCTTATAAAAATTTAATTACGAATTAATTTAGAATCATACATATCTACTATCAAAAGCTTTATATTTGAAATGTTTTATCATTTTGTCCAACAATTGGTTCATGTCCGTTAACATTTATCTTACAGTTTACAGTGCATAAAAATTTACCAATCGTCTTATATAAAAGTTGCTATATATATTGTTGAGATTGTATAGTATTTGGTTCTATTTATCGTTTTATATGTAATTAGGACTATAAGCAAATAGAATCTTCCTCACATTAAATATTAAAGATGGTTTTTGTTCGTAAGCATCATATAATAAAAAAAAAGAATATTATTATCGTTTTATTTATTTTTATTCTTAGAAAAGGGTACATTCGTTATTCGATATATTTGATGTGACGTCCATTCTTATTCAGAATAAATGTAAATAGTTTTTAAATATCTGAATAAATTTATAGTCAATATTTTTACTTTATATTGACATGTATCTAATTCAAAATGCCATATTTGCCGCATTCCTAATATCTAGGGGCTGCGCAGAATGAAGGAACAGGGAACAGAGAGCAGGGAACAGGGAATAGGGAACAGTCCAATAAGTATACAATGGCGTTAACGCAGAATGAAGGAATAGAGGAACAGCGTTAAGGAATAATGACGAAATTTCAGCGAACAACTAGACTTTATATTGTGTGTGTATTGTAACGTATTATATACAGTTATACACTATTGGATTGGTAAGTTAAAAAACATGTGTGCAGATCACGTATATGATAGTGACAACATATATTTCAACGACCCAGTAAATCAGAATGACAATGAAATATGTGATTTGACTGAAAACAAAGATGCTGATCAATTATTAATTGATTTAGTAAGGTTATACCCACATTTGTGGGATAAACAAAAAAGAGATTTCAAAGATTCTGCAAAAAAAGAAACCTCTTGGGAAGAAATTTCCTCGATTCTGAATCAGTCTGGTAAAAATATCTAATTTTAATAACTAAAAACTTAAAATATATATATATATGCATACATATACATATATGTATATATAAAATAACTTTTTTACTTCTGGCTAAATGTAACCAAAAAATAACAAACATTAACTTTTTCAGTAAGTGTTTGTCAAGCTAGGTGGCAACGATTGCGCCAATATTATGCCAAAGAACGGCAGAAACAAGAATTGGAAAGTAGAAGCGGATCAAAAGCTGTTAATCGAATGCCTTGGTATTTATTCTCTATGAATTTCTTGGATAGTCATATGTATAAGAGAAGGTGTGTAGGATTTTAATCAATTATTTTATATACTCAGCATTAGTTCTTTTTTATTTATTAAAAATTTTTTTTTTAATTGATATGAACTGTATTTTTAATAGGTACTGTATTTTTAGGACATTTACTAGTTTAAAAAAATCTATGACTACTGAAAAATCCAAGGAAACATCTCATACATTTCATGTATTAATAATGATCTGATTACTCAATCTGTCAGTTCTGAGTCATGTATACCTACGTTAGATAATAGGAATAGAACTCCACTTTTGACAAATTCAGTATGTTTTGACAATTCAGTATTTATTTCTGTACTAGTTTCATAATGTTGTGCTTGTATTAATTGTTTTGATTGTACTTATATATGATAGAACTCAATTCCATCTTTGAATTCATCGGAAATAGCACAATCGCCAATACTTACCACAGATTCGGTACAAAGATCCCCATCAGTATCTTCACCAAGAAATATATCTGCAAAATCAACGCTATTACCAAATTCAACATCTCTTAACAACAGAGATCCATTTTTGGATTTAACAAATTCGGTATGTTTTGATATTTATTTAACATATACTATAGTATAACGTTCTTGGTAAAAATATTTCTTAAAATTTTAAGTTTTAAAAAATTTTTTTACATAGCTAAAATTTCAAGGAACAATGTGAAATTAGTTTCTTAATTTATTTTACTTATTTTTTTCAAAAAGAAAATGCCTAAAATGTTAATTTATTGTCACCAAGAATATATGTAACCTCATAATTGTTTTTGTTATATATAGAACTTAGTTCCACCTCTAAATTCATCGGAAACAACGCAAATTTCAAATTCCAATATAGTGCCAATACAAAGACCATCTCTATCAATTTCTCCACAAATTGATAAATCTTCAAGATCAACGCCATCACCAAAATCAACATCAAGCATTCCTAAATGTAACATACCTAGTGGAAAAATGAATATCAATAGTTCAACTCTCAAACCGAGTTAAAGATAAACAAAATGAAGGATCATGCTTTAGCAAATTTAATTCTTAAGGAATTACAAGATGCTGAAGAACCAAATAAATCAATGCTTCGAAAGAAAATTATGCAAACTTTAATGGACCATATGAATAACTCGTAAACTGATTAATTGCACACAGGCACGCAAAATAAAATTTAATACTTGATCCGGAGATTAAACTTTAATATTCTTTTTGGCACTCTGATATATCAAATTCGATTCTAAATTGCTTCATCATGTCACATTTTTTATCGGTGGAAAATAGCTTGATTTTCATTTATGATCTAGTTTTTAATAAGCAAGCTGAAATAAAAGAGAGAATATAATTTCGATTATAATATACAAGCTTGTAAAATTAATATGCAAGCTAGTAGTTTAAAATACTGGAAATCTAGTTGTTTTCCGTGAATAAAAAAATTATTACACGATGGAGCAATTGGACATCAGATTCGCTTTCAAAACATAAAAGAATATCAAAATACATACATAAGAATATCATGATCTAATCTCAGGGTTACAAATTTTTGTGTGTGCAATAGAATATATATGTATATATATACATATGTATATACATATATATATGTGTGATATATATATAATATATATTATATATATGTAGAATATATATATATGTTACAATAGAATATATATTATATATACAAAAGTAATATGTGATATACCTGAGCGTTATAGCTAAACGTTGCTCTGGAAGTAATGGTTTTCTATGACTAGTTTTGGTCAAATACATCGACACTTTTTTCAACAGCTCATTGAACATCTCTTTTGACATTCTCAAATATCGAATAAAACGTTCTGGGTCATTTTTTAGCTCTTGAAATAATGTGCAAAAATCGCCAAACTTATCACGTTGAAGATTAATAGGATGAACCCACCATCTACGATTTTTCCATCGTTTGTGTTTCTCTTTTTTCTTATTTCGTAAATACATTATTAATCCAATTTGCAAAACTGACGTAGCCAATATTAATACAATTTCCTCGTTTAATATATCATGCATAGTTTTGAAAGATTTAAACGTATAATAATTTGTTGATCTGCAACATAGTTAATAAATTAAATATTAAATTACTAATGATTAAATAATTTTGTTGTATGCATATCGTAACTTGGCCGATTATGTACTTGTACTTTGTTGTAGCATTTTTTCATCTCCAGTTGCGAAGGCGGAATTATTAAATCTTATTTATAAGAATCCGATCGAAATCGAAGAAGAGAGAGATGAACACGAAATAAAGATGATCATGATTGATCAAACGAGAATTAAATTATAGGAATTACTGCACAGTTTCAACAATTTGTAGGCAATATTTATAAATTTTCATAAATAACACATTTTATTCTACAGTACATGAAATATATATATTTACCTTCTTTTTGATGCAATGATTTTTAAAATCATGTGCCATCTATATGTATATATAATATTTTATATCAATCAGTAATTATTATCGATATAACTATCGTAAAATTCTAAAGTTTATAACCCTATACATAATTACATTGCGAAGTATGTATACAAAATTGCTTTTTTCATTTGTATATTTTTATTGTGGGCAAATCAAATGTTGGCTAAAATCTTGATCAAACAAAGTGATAAATCACGATAATATATGAAATATGTATTTTTTGTTTCACGGATTCGAAATGCTAATTACCATAAATCAGAACTTTTTGTCGCAATTGTAAAGTTATGGCCCTACAGTTCCCTGTTCTCTGTTCTCTATTCCCTATTCCTCTATTGTGCGTTTACGGTGTTCCTGTTCCCTATTCTCTGTTCCCTGTTCCTTTTATTCTGCGCAGCCCCTAACACGCAATTGGTTCGTTTCATAATGCACGCGTATTTTAATTGGTTAGGTATATTTACTATATAACTATAGATAGACTTTTATTCCAAATATAAACGGTCATAATTGGCAACAATTGGCAATGAAATATCTACTCTACTAGCACTGCTATCTCGATTTGGTTTCAGTTGGCAGGCATTATAGAAGTAAAATATATATGGCTGAAATGTCGACATTGCTCGATGAAATATGAAACTCTATTGCGTGTGGCCGGACATGAATCTTTTATATTGGTCTCATTGCACGAACTTAAGTTAAAAACATTGAGATACGTAGATTCCTTTTCAATCGTCCGCCCGTAAAATCTTATAGAGTCGCTCATAGATCGAGTGGCTAAACTGCTGACAAAAATGGCGTATCGTGGAGTAAAGGGTTCTGATCCGTTTGTGTCAAAAACTTCGCGAAATGAACGTTTCGCGCAGATGTCAAAGCAAGAACAGATCATCCAACAGAAGAAGATGGAAATTCAAGCGAAACTGCAAGAACAAAAAGCGAAGGAAGCCGTGGAATGCATGAAGAAGTCTAGCTCGTCAGCTTCCACTACAACAACTAATAAGGGCACTGCACCAAAGTAAGTCAAGTAAATCTCTTCTGTATCACGTTGTCGTCGTGTAAACTCAATCTTTTGGACGAATTTATGTTACATAGTTTACGCATTTGTTATATTTATATTGATAACTCGGAAGTGTCAAAAGTAAAAGTCATTGTTTATCTCTGTAGGGAAGATGATGAAAAGCCTACTATGAATGTGTTTGCCAATGATGGCAGTTTCCTTGATCAATTTAAAAAGATAGCCAATAAAACAACTGTTAAACAAGATAAAGAACAGGATAAAGAAGATAAGAGAAAAGATGAGAGAAATTATGAAGCTGTTAGAGAGAAAGATAGGGAAAGAAAGCGCAGCAATGAAAAGAGTAGAGATTGGGATAGTAGACGCGATCGCCGAAGGAACGATACTCGATGGGGAAGAAGTTCAGATAGGAGACACAGTTCGTCGTCAAGCCCATCGCCTACCAGGCGAAGATCACCACCTAGTCCAGAGATACGACATAGCTACAGTCAATCGCAAAATGGACAACGCGCACAATTTCAGAATCAACAATTCCCAATTCAAAATAACAACCATGTCTCTTCTATCCCGTCCCTCATGTCCCAACCAGTGCAGATGCAAATGACAAATATACCGCCCCCGAATATAAGGAACTTGACACCAAATATTCCATCTGCACATATGCAAAGGATACCGATGTCGAAAAATTTTAGCAATAATTACACTAACATAAATGAGCATTCTAATAATGTGAGAATGCAAATCGCGCCATCGCATATCATACGTCCTCCACCTCCCCCTCCTATTCAGAGCATTCCACCTAATACAAATGTTCCACCACCAAATATGCAAATGTCTCAAGCTATGCCAATATCCAATTTGTCTTCACCATCAAACGCACAACAGCATATTATACAGAATCAGCAACAATGCAATGTACCGCCACCAGGGTGCAATGCTAATTTGCAGCCTCCGAATATTCCTCCACCTAACATACCACCTCCAAACATTTTACCATCAATGTCCCAAATGCCACCGACCATGATGCCTATTACAGGCTCACAAACCATTGTAGTAACGGTACCAAATGTAGCTAATGTTCCACCTCCAAATGTGATAACATCTATGATAATGTCAGGACCTCCGCCAGTTCATACTGTCCCATCAACGATCAATTCGGTTCCACCACCAAATTTGAACATCCCTCCACCAAACATCCCGCCACCTAATATCATTCCTAATGCAGCACCAACGCGTGGTCTCATATCCAGCGGCTATGCTCTTTCCAATCAGGTACCTATTTCGGTGGGCCCTCCTAACGTACAAATACCACCACCCGTAAGACCACCGGCTAATCTACAGAATTCCGAACAACAAGGTATGATATTACAGTTAAGAAGTATGTCTTTTTTGTGTTACGCATAATTGTATGTTATCTATAAGCACTGGACACTTTGTTTTCTCTTGTACAATTTTAATAGTATTGTAGGATACTAGAAAGATCAATTGTAATAAGATATAAAAAATAATAAAATATTCTTTATATTGTACACACACGCGCTCGCGCGCACTCACATACGTATAATCATAAATATTTGAAACATTATTATACAAAGTAGCTAACAAAGGATTCTAAGTGTGTTTAGTAGAGGCTGAGCAGCTGGCACGAATCGTGGCTGACTGTGGGGATGAGATAGAACAAGAAGTACGAGAGAAGAATGCCCAAGATCCTAAATTATGGTAACTACTGTCCTCACTGGTCCTCGTTTTGTATTTCCATTTCCCTGTTCCTTTGTAATATAATTAATACTTTTATAATATATCTAGGACAATAATATTTTATTTTGTATTATAGGACATTGACAAATCTCTATCACATAGTTCTTGACATCTTAGTAACATGAAAAATTGAATGTATAATTTTGTTAAATGTTCGCTTAATGTGAATTGTTGCAAATGTGCTTGCATTCCTAAATTTCAACTGTATCGCAAAAAAATTTACTGATTACAGAAATTTATCTACATGTTTCTTATATTTTTCTACTGCAAACTATTCTTTTGTTTGATAAAATTGTTAATATTGAATGTATTCTCACATTGAACATATTTTTTCTTGCAATTACAATAATGGCATTATACATATTTGATAACCTATAATTTTTTTAACATAGAACAATATTTGTTTCTCTTGTAGACTTTAAAATGTTATATTTTTACTAATATAATTATTTTTTACATAAAAGAAATTAAGAATTTATATGGGATTAAGAATGTTACAAAAGATATGATAAACAAAAAAGCTTGAGGCAAAATATGCAATTATCTCCTAAATAAATTTTTCTGTATACATTTTGCTGTAAAGTTTACTTTGTGTTATATTCTTTTATTTTTAAACATGTTTATTTTTAAAAATCAAGTTTTGATTATGTTGTTTTCAATGTATTTAAAAAAAGATCTGATTGTCTAACTAATAAGAAAATATTCCATTTAGATGTATTTATAAAACATTTTTATATCTAAAATGAATATTTTAATTTGTATATAATATATATATATATATATACAGTGGTGGCAGAAATAATGGGTACACTGCAGATAAATCGTAATTTTATCTGCAGAAAAGACAGAAAAAAAATATTCAGATCAATTATTATATGTAGAGGTAATACTTTGAGGCTTTACATTTATTAAAAAATTAATAATTTTTCACCTAAGTCATACAATCATGAAATATTTAATCTTAGAAAATTTTTGACAAAAAGTTATTGGCAAAAATAATAGGCACAATTGCACTATGAAATATATTGCACAACAGAAAACTAAATCTTGCCTTTCTGACTAATATTTAGTCGCGTAGTCCTTATTTCGCAAAACTGCTTGACATTGGTGGTTCATTGAATCTATTAAGCGCTCGCATATTGATTTTGATGTGTTGTGCCACGTTTTCTGGATTTCTTGCCCCATAATTGAGTTTTATTTTTAATTTTCTCCTTTGGAACTGCCTTTTTTACTTCATGCCACAAATTTTCGATGGGATTTAAATCAGGAGATTGTGCTGGCCATTTCATCACAGGGACTTGATTATCTTCAAACCACGTTTTTACAAGTTTCGACGAATGTTTTGGATCATTATCTTGCTGAAAAGTCCATATCAGTGGCATATTCCCCTTAGCATAGGGTAACATGATATCATTTAAAATGTCACGATAAATCTCTTTTGTCATCATTTCCTTGATCCAGTACAGAGAACCGACACCATTGTAGGAGAAGCATTCCTAAACCATGATATTTCCTCCGCTAAACTTTATTGTCTTTTTGGTGAATTTAGGATTGAATGCAGCATTTGGAGGCTTCCTCACAGTTAATGCACCATCAGATCCGAACAAATTAATCTTTGTTTCGTCGCTCCAAAGAATATTTTTCCACTGCTTCTCTCTCTCTCTCTCTCTCTCTCTCTCTCTCTCTCTCTCTCTCTCTCT